AGTAGTCAAACTGAACTGTTAATAAACCAAAATACAGTTTCAAAAGCAAATTAATTCAGATTCAAAACTTTAAATTCAGTTTTAATTTAGAGAAATTCATTTTCACACCAATGCACTCAATTTCAAATTCTGCACATTCAGATTCAACCTGAGCGATTCAAATTCAGTTCCCGCTGGCACAAGATTGATCTCATACAACATGTTCCTGAAAAACACTGAAGCTGAACTTTAGAAAGGATAATAAAACTTAATAATTCAAAGATAAGATTTAAATTATTAAAACTATTTTAAAGTGCTTTCTTTAAAAAGGCTGGAAGCTGAACTGAATTGTAATAAAATGATTTTATTTGGGTCAGTATGTGAGGTTAAAGTTAGGATTTTTCTCCTTGTTTTTAGCAGCTTCCACTCAGAAAATGAGCAGATTTTTAACGTTGTTCTCTGCTGTTGGATCCTCACAGATCTGTCGGCTTTCATGAGACTAAAACACAAACACAGAAAGTGAGGATGATGAAGTTAGCGCAAATATAAATCAAATCAGCGCCTTCGGTCCAATCGCCTGACAAAATACGGCTGAGCTCTTGAAAATAATTGTGTTCAGCTGCAGAGTTTGCTGAATGTTCCTCGCAGCGCTGAGCGCACTGCAGCTTGAGCTCTTACATAAGTCAGAGACAACAGAAATCCTGCTTCACAACCATGAGAGCTGAAACCACCGCTGCCAGCTGAAGAACAGAAACTGAAACACCGTCCATGTTAGAGGCTCCCATCACCAAGTGTTGGTTCAGGAAAACAAAATATAATGAATTATCTGCTCAGGTTTACTGCTGCAGCCCAAGAGCTAATTTATAATCAATACATTTATAATCAATCAATGTATTTATAATCAATCAACAAATTTAATCAATCAGTATATTCATAATGAATCAAAAAATATATAATCAATCAATTTATTTATAATCAACAAATATATTTATAGTCAATCAATACATTTATAATCAATCAATGTATTTATAAACAATCAACAAATTTATAATCAATCGATATATTTATAATCAATCAACAAATTTATAATCAATCAGTATATTCATAATCAATCAAAAAATTATAATCAATCAATATATTTATAATCAATCAACAAATTTATAATCAATCAATATATTTATAATCAATCAACAAATTTATAATCAATCAATATATTTATAGTCAATCAATACATTTATAATC